AAATGATGGTGTACTGTTCTAGAGGGGTGACTTAACCCAATATACTCTTTATCTTTCTCAAAAGAAAATCAGAGGGCAGCAAAATTCAACAGTACTGTTGTCTTGGTGGGAGAAGATTGAGAATCTTCACAAAGTCCTGTCACACATCAGAACATCTGTTCGTATATTACCAAAGCAGCTTGATTTTTATACACACAATAAAAAAAAGCACTTTATCCTTTCCCTAAAGATCACCCAGAAGGAATGGAATAAGGAACCCAGAACACAAATACAATTAATATAGAACTTGCAATGTTCAGGGCACAGATAAGAAATTCCTGCCTTATTAGATACCATACACAATATGCACACTTGCACTGTATGAATACATGTCAAACAGTTAAAACACTGAACAGCTGTGTATGAGCAGAACTTGAGGGAAGCACTATTGCTCCAGTGATTATTATGTTCTGTGGAAATCTTGAGGCTCCACAGAGGTCCTAAACTTTACCTATCCCCATTGAACATTTCTCCACAAGTTCTCAATATAAACACCATCTGTCATTTACTGGTGGATTTCACAGTCACCTGAAATTTTCACTTTCAAATTGCTTATACAGGCTTTCAGATTTGGTTTCTCTTCCTGAAGAGATACGCATACATCTAAAGTCCATAAAAAAAGGCAAAATGCCTTTTGATTTATTATGGTCCTGAAACTTCAGGATGCCCTTAGAATAAAAAAGCATGATGCCTGAACCAAGCAAAGATGGGAATGAACAGAGCAATTGACTTGTGAAAGTCACCTTGAAATTGTATCATTTGAACTTCTCAGCACAATGAGGGCTTTTACTCCATTTTCTTAGGGTGTACTTAAATCCTATATTCACTTGGAAAGCAGAGGAGTTTCTGCCTTTGCACTGCATTTTGGTTTGCCCTCAGCTGTTCTGATAGAATATATGGCAGTACACCGTAAACTGAAGCATTCAATCTACCTTAAAGGAGAAGTGAACACATAATAGCTATTGGATGATGTTATTTAACTTACATCACTTCAGTGACATGCCTTATAGCACAGACCCACAAGCACTGTAGCAGAGGAAGTGACAAAGACTGCTGGGGGATCAGGAGCCAGGTTTGGATGGGAACTTCCCAAGTCAGCTCTGCTGCTGAGGCTAACATCTCACAGAACCACACATTTAGCATCTGCACAGCTTATAAACTTCCCAACTTCCTAATGTATATTACAAACTTTTTTAAAAGTAACATATTCAGGAAATTTTTAGGTATGTAACTTCATAAGGTGGAGTTACTAGGAAGTCACTCATTACTGTTTTTATCAAAACTAACCACAAGAAAAGCAGAAAATTTATGGTAAAATGTCATTTTAAAGAACATCAGAATATATCAAAAGACTTAGAAGACTTTGCTAGAGGTTCATTGGAAAAGACAATTAACTTCTATTAGATCAGCTTATGTGAAAAATACTTAACTCTCAGACCCAGAGTCACACCAAAAGGGTTTTTTTGATGCTAGTTGATCTCATAAATTATATCACTTTACACCTCCTGTATCTCTTCTATTCTTAAATTGTCACCAATAAGCACTACTACTATACTATCTCATACATCTGCATTGAAAATGTTTGTCTCATAACTGAGCAACTCAGATGACAGAATATCTTGCTCTTAGTCTTACAATTGTTATGCAGAGTAACCTTCTTTGCAGTTGCAAATAAACACACACTCTTCTATGTTCCTTTATGTTCTTTAGCAAAAAAAAACATGCTATGACTAACTGGATGATGGCTACCCATTAACATTATGTGGTATAGTTTGGTATTGCTGAGGAATACAGTATTATTTGCAAATAGGGCAGCTATACACCTATGATGCAGTTGTGAATGCAGTTGTGTATAGAAAAGCTTTCTTTATGGTAAACAAACCCTTTGTATTAATGAGTTGTCACAAAACATCATAGCTTCTCATCTAATTTGAAACATATTGATCCATGGTTCCAGATGCCTTAAACCTCATGGTTCCTACATTTCTAATGGCATTGGGTATAATTCTATTCTGCTAATGCATTTATTAGCTTCTGACTGATCATTACTCCAAGACACAAAGTTTTCCTTGAATACCATTATCACCTATTCATGATCACTTCTGGTATTTGAGACACATATTTTGAGGCACATGGATTCTGTTTTTTAGACCAACTTCTGTCTCTTTGAACAATAAGAATTGCATAAGGCTTTCAAGTAAACTGTCTCCACATGCATCTGTATCACAAGATTATCCTGCTTTCCAGGATAACCTGAGATACTGCTTTACCATGACATTGACTGGTATCTGGGTTACTTCAGTTCAGCCAGCCATAGTGTCTGAACCCAAAACCTGTACAAATATTACAAAACTTCTTAGATAATCCAGAATACATCACTGGTTTATGATGTCTCAGGGTTCATTTTGAGATCTACCTTAAGTATAGGAAAAAATATTTTTTCTCCACTTATATTTGATTGGGTATGCAAAGCTGTATAATATTGATTGTTCCTTCTACAATACTCTTATTCCATAATTCCTCATTGTATTAAAGGTACTACAGAAAGAATGCTTTATGAAATGTGTGCTAGTCCTAAAACCTCATAAGACTGTGAAAGAAATAATCATATTTAAAATTATACATCTTCAAATGCTAATAAACAGAGTATTAAAAATGTAAGCTAAGGACCTCCTAGTATACCATCACATAGGGTAATTTTTTTCTTGAATTGTAATTACATAAAACAATAAAATATAAAATATATTTACATGGGATAAGAAAGTTTTTAAACAATTCTAAATATCTAATTAAGAAATATGTAAATGCACGACCACAATTTAATTGTTGAGATACAAAAAATCATACCTGTTTGCTTTCTTCCATATCAGATTCACTGCTAAATTCTTCTGTATTTAAATTTTCAAAATCTGATTCTCCAACTGCAATTGGCACTGTCACAGTGAGACCTGGGTTGTTTATGAATGACATGTAATCATTTTCATCGATTACGTATTTTTCCACACTGCTGCCTGTGCCTACACCACTGGTGGTTCCATTTCCGTCTTTAAGATGATTCATATCTTTGCTTATTTCAACAGCAGTATGATTGGAAATGCAGCTGTCTTTCTTGTTGTTTAGCTCTTCAAGTGCTTTGATTTCCTCTAAAGCTTTCTGCTTTCTAATGAAGGCTTTTTGGATGAACTCCTGTATCTTTTTTTTAACATAATCTATTCCCTTCTGAATCCTTGCCACAGCAATCTGGAGATTGTTCATTTCATTATCATCATCGGTAGCAGCAAGGTTGTCTGAACTAAATGAGCTCAGCAGCAAGGCCAGAAATAGGTTCAATACCTAAAAGATGAGAGAATACAGCTGTATGGTAAACACATGCATATAAGAAGTGGGTATTTTTACAGGAAACTGCCGAATAGCACATGTTGTTTTGAAAAACAACATTTTAGACAACCATATAACACCTTAAATGACAAAAGATCTCCTTACTTGTTTTGATCAGTATTCACTCAGAAGATGAAAACAGACAAGCTAATACCTAAATATTTTAAACTTTTTATCTTTGTTTGAAGCAGCATGGTTGCTTAGACTCTAAAATAAAAAAAAAAGTTACAAAAATTCTAGCAATACACATTCATCAGAGGTTTGAAAGGCTTCTGTCTAAATCTCTTAAAATCACCGGGTATTTAAGTAGAATTAAAGAAGCATGATTTGTAAAATTAGATGGGTTTCTACGATGCTGATATTTTAGAAACTTATATCAGTTAATGCTATAATAACCTACTTATACTTTCTAACTACTCTTTGGAAGATTATACCATGAGACTGACTTTCTGCTAATTCTGGGCTTGTCTCAAATTCTGTAAAGCTTGTCATAAAAGGATAAAAGGACTATTTTAAAAGGAATTTTACACATTAATGTCTATTTTTTATAATAACATTATATTACTTGTAATTGGATTTTTTTCCTTTTTCACTTGGGAAAAACCAAAACTTTTGTTTGCTCTTATGTAGTAATTTAAAATAAAATTGAATTCTTTCATAAGCAGGTAACAATCTTAGCACTAGTATTGCCAGAGAACTGTGGTTTATTACCTCAGAATATTGTTGTTTTAATATAATCTTCTATAAACTGTAGCTATTTCACTAAAGCTTACATCCAATTAATCATTTCATACTTTCAGTCTGATATACCACCAGGCATCAAAAGTTGTCATGCTATGGCAAAATGGCGCAAATTAACTCCCCCATTGTTAAATGCGTTAGGTCTCTCATTTCTACTCTCTATTAATTTAAATCTGCAGACTTTTACCATTCCAGAAAAGAACCCTGAAGGCAAAAAGACACTTGCAAGAAAGAAGGCAATATGATTCTGAAAGAGTATTTCTACACTGAAGTTAATGTTAAAAAATATTAGAGCAGGTTACTGATCATAAATAACTTTCTGTGGCTCTGCACATTTCTGCTGATACCATGTCAAGTTTGCAAGATCATGTAAACCACTAGGATACAAACGTTTTGAATTCTATTTTATAAAGATGTAAATCATGTTAAAATATATCAGTAAAGGAAGAGAATTTTGACAGGTAATGAAATATAGTTTTTAGGCATATCTGAATGAACTACAAAGATTAACAGTAAAAGAAAATTAAAAAAAAGTAAAACTGAACATGGGGCATTCCAAATAGAATCCTGATTTCTAAGAAGTTCACACCAACTCCATATTTATTAATTGAACTTCTGGTATTTTAACTTGTCAGCTTGAATTAACATTTTTCTATTAAGGTCTCTCTTATAATTTTGAGTTAGAAGCTTTCAAACAGCTGGATGTCAAATCACTCTGTATTTCCTTTTTGTTTATTACACCTCAACAGGCCAAAAATTTCAGTACTTCAATTCAAGATATTCTATATAAGAGCTACATTATACTTTATTTTTAAGTCAGAACTATTACTGCTGGAATTAGCTGTAATTGGTGTAAGAAAGTCCATTAGATTTTTTTCTCCCAAGAAGCAGCTGCTCAGGAGCTCATGCAGCATAAGCTTTATTATTTCAAGAGTAGTTAAGAATTTAAACAGCACCTCTAGATTAGCTGCAGCACTCCCATGATAGGGTGTTTGATTTGACATTTTGGTATATTCATAATTTCCTGGACCCTTAGCGAGAGTACTTCAGTGTATGGAAATTAGTAAAAAGGGGGAGAAGGGAATCATCATATGTTTTTATCCAAAATCTAGCACATTCAGATTTACTTTTTAATTCTAAACAGAAGTATGACAAACATTCTCATGGCCTAGTTGTGAGTTATGTACATTTTGCATCAGGGTTAATGTTCAAAAATGTTCATCACATACCACTAGGTTTCCAATCACCATGACCAGCATGAAAACAATAAGGCACATGGTTTGGCCTGCAACCTCCATGCAGTCCCACATCGTTTCTATCCATTCTCCACACAACACTCGAAACACAATCAGGAAAGAGCAACCACAGCAAAAATGAACACAATGATGGCCAGCACCAGGGTCAGATTTCCCAGAGCCCCCACTGAGTTGCCAATGATCTTAATCAGCATATTCAGAGTTGGCCAAGATTTTGCTAACTTAAAAACTCGAAGCTGAAAAACAAAACCACAGAGGAATCATTAGTGTATGTATGAAATAGAAGTTAGATCCAAGCTGTTTAGCAGAGCATATAAGTTTCTGTAGATTAATTTGTTCTTCAGTAGGAACGTATTATTATTTTAATGGAAAGCAGGGAGCAAGGAGTATTTGCCCAAACTGCAGTGTCCAGCATTTCATTTTAGTGATGCACATAGAAAAAAAAAACATCAATTGTGTTTGTACCACATTTGGTCTTAATATTTTTAAACATCCACTTACGTATGATTACTGAACAATTCTTAAAGACATTTTAGAAATTTGTACTCTTTTCATCACCTTCACTACACCCTCTTTACTGGCTTGGTCCTGCATTTCCCTCAGCACCACATTAGGTCATCCAGGCTTAGTTAAAAGACAATTTTTGAAGCAATAATTCAATGCTGATACTATGATGTCCATTCAAATTATAAACACTAACTTAAAAATAGTATTCAGTAACCAAACTATGGTATGTGAAGTTGTGTACCATTGCAATTGGTGCTAATAAAGTAAGTCACTACTTCCTGATCTGTATATTAGGAAATTACCTAGGTTTTCAAGTAACGTGCTAACTATTAGTAATACAGACTTTTAAATTAGGTATATGTGGCAAATAATGTGAGCCATTTAAATATATAATTTATCTTTGCAATACTGATAATATATTACAGACATTAGCACATTTTTTCCAAGTGAGACAATTGCATGCAAATGTTTAATTATCAAGGTATTTACCAATCTGAATGACCGAAGAACAGATAATCCTTCAACATTTGCAAGACCAAGCTCCATTAAACTAAGGCTAACAATAATACCATCGAAAATATTCCAGCCTTCTTGGAAATAATAATAAGGGTCCATGGCAATTATCTTTAGTACCATTTCTGCTGTGAATATCCCAGTGAATACCTAAAACAAAATGGAATTAATTGGTTAAGTTTTTATGAGAAATTTATATATATGAGTAAATTTTTCTCATCCAGCTTGAGTTCTTATACCTGTTACTTGTACTGTTACTATAAAAACCAGCTGATTGTTATCTTCAAATGGCATCTTAAGTATTTCTAAACACTGAAAACTGGTAATTAAAACCAAATTACTAAATTACTGGAGGGCAGACGTTTGATAAACCTATAAAAATATATTCACCAGTCAGCAGCTCAGCTGCAGTTCATATTTGACTGAGATTTGCTGGATTATCCATCCAGCAGATGATGTGATATGATCTAGGGTTTTCAGTCCTGTTCCTAGAGGATAGTCCCAGTAAAGCAAAAGAAGACTTGACAGCAGGTTTTTTCCTTGCTCACAGTCTAAACAGAAGTGTTAGAAGAAACTCTTTAAGGTCAGACTCTCTGACGACAGGCTCTCTAAGGTCTCTCTTTCAGGTCAGAGTTAAAGAGCATGGGTGGAATAGACAGGGGAAGTTGGAGCTTCTTGCACTGGGCTTTTTGTGAGGATATAGAGGTTTCACACACAGCTACTATTCTGTGTGGGAACTATTTCCATTTGGGAAAAAGAACTTTGTGGTGATAATGTTCTTTGAAATATCTGGAGGTGCCAAATGTGAAATTATCAATGCTTCTTAGTGTTTTAAAGTCCAGAATGTAACCTGACAATTTCTTGCAATGAGTAGTGTCAGTCGTTTGTGCAGCATAATGAAGAAGTTTTGAAGCATAGTGCAAAACCACTGAAAACATATGAATATTCTGCACAACACTCAAAGGGTATGCTAGATGATCCAAAAGTCTACTCAAGTACACCAACATACTCTGCCATTGCCTTGTGATAGTTCTTTACCCAGCTTGTTCTCAGTCCTCCTACAATCAGTTTTATGGAAGCAAAGCTGAGTTTTTACAGCACTATATAACTACACTCATGATTACCCTTTAATCTAAGAAGATTAGGAGGTAGATATAAATGCTGTGGAAACATTCACCACTGTCAAAGTGTAAATAATAACATTTTTTAAAGTGTATACTTGTGAGAAACTAGAAATATAGCAAGAATCACTGTACTATTAAATTGGTATATGAGAGATGTTACCACATAGTCAGAAGAATGTAACAGGTATTGCTATGTGTGGTAGATAAAACACAACAAAGGAGATTATTTCATATTTGTCAAAATAATTGAAAAAAAAAGGCAATGAAAACCATTTTATTTTTAAATATATCCTTCACAAAATAACCCATTCCATTCACAAACTACTTTTTCTTGAACATAACTGCATCCCCAAATACACAAAAATACATTTTAACAGAAGTAAACTCAACTTTTCTTATAATTACTTAGGACTTTTGAATACTGAATAAATTTTAGTATTATGAAAATTATCATTGCATTTTAGAAGTATTTCTTCCTTCCCATTAAAATGCTACAGAAAAGGCAGAGTCATATTTGTCATATTTAATTTATCCTCAAACAGACCGTGATGTCACAAGCAAAGAGTAAATTAACATATTTTGAATGGAAATCACAAAATTAAGGTTAATAGATTAATACAGTGAGAAACAGAGAATTAAGGATACTGGATTGTTAGAAAGGTAGTTAAAATTATGACTGTTGCTAGCCTAGAGTAAAAAAAAAAACAACATATGAGATGGGAAAAGGCAGAAGACTTTGTAACTATAAATGGCTGGAGATAAATAATTATAACAATATGACAGACTAACATTTTAAAATACAATCTTATGTAATCTGTGATTAATATAAGAATATGCCAGCAATTAAATCTTTGTCCAGGAGAAAGGAAACTGTGTACACAAGAACACATAGGTAGTAAGTTCAATTTTACTTCTATTTTTAAGAAAAAGTAATAGAAGGATGTATTACCAGTACATATAAGGAAAATGTTTAGACTTTAAAACACACTCTGAGAAATCTATTACTGCTCCATTTAAATATTAGCAGCCTTTTCAAAACTAATCTTTTTGAGTGATTAGTTCAGGACACTTGGTTCGTTTTGATTTTCACAACTGCATGCTGTGTGAGTCAATCCAGACCTCTCCTGTGTAAACTATTGGTAGTTATGTGAGCTGGCAAAAAATTAAAAATTTATGAATCTTCTTCTGAAATAAATGTTTGCAATGTTCAGTCCTCTGCTTCCTAAGCATTATAAGCAAATGGAGAGAAACAGACAAGAACATTTAAGTGTTATGTCACATTTAGGTATCTGCTCAGGAAAGGATCAGGTTAAAATCAGGAAATGCATCACCAATAATCTTACAGATAGAAGGTGCTTTTTGTTAGAGAATAAATAATACTCTTCTAGTTTATTAAGTATTTTTTAGTTACCTAAAGTGGCAAGGACTTACTGCTAACAAGCTATATGCCTTTCTTGGAAATGTACTTTCACTGTAGTGTAACTGAAAAAAATGCAAAGAGAAATTCTGACATCTGAATATTTCATCAATTTCTTACAGAAGAAAAATATTTTCTGTGATGGAATATCAGTACCGTGGTAAAAGTTAAATACTCTACCGTAATATTTTAAAGAAAAAAACCAAGGTAGACCTCAAGAAATCTGACAATCTGGTGAAGACTGCACTTCCACACAGTTATTTCATTATAGTAATTAAAAAATAGATTCATGAAAGTTAAAGGCTCCAGCAAAAATCACTTTATCTATGAAAATCATATGTATAGTTTCTAAACTGATTATAGAAACAAACCTGGAATATAAACTTAAAACCAATGCAATGCATTTATGCATTTATTCTTTTAGAAAAGGGTATTTTTACACCAAGTAGTGCATGACAAACCACTTACCAGGTTCCCCACAGAAAGGACACTGCTAAACTGTTCTGTCATTGGGTAATGTTCCATGGCCATAAACAAAGTGTTTAAAACAATGCAAATAGTTATAGCAAGATCAACAAATGGATCCATCACAACTAAATTGACGACATGTTTTACTTTTAACCATGGACTCCAGCAATCCCAGATCAAGAAAGTATTTGCAAATCTGTACCAGCATGGTGGGCATTTCTGTCTGGATTCTTCAAGCTCTGAAAAAAAGCAGAAAAAAAAATAACAAATCATGAATACTCCAATTATATCCTCTTGAAGTTCTTGTTTGAAATACATAAAAAGATTAAATCACTCAAATAAACAGATCACACTAACGTGGGATTTTCCTCACCGATGTTTATCCATGCTAAAGTTAAGCATCTAATCTATTTAAGCTCCTCTACAACCAGCGGACAGTGAAGTTATCTCTAAAGAATGAATCATCTTAGACAGCCATCTAAAGAGAGGAATGTGCTTGTCTCTTTCCCGTGACCGTAGGGAGAGTCTAGACATTCAGTGTAGGTTAGTTGACTTGCTTACAGCAGATTTCTTAATTTTGTGTATTAAAAGTTAACATGACTCATCAGCAAACTTCATATAAGCTTCATAAAATACAAAATTTTTATGTTAATTATGTAACATGTACATATTTTGATTTGAGCTACTAAAAGTAGTTTATTTGCTAATATACCGAACCACAGATAAATGACTCAGCGTGCATACCTATCATTGCTTATTTGAATCAATATTTTTAATATACAAAATGCCTGTTTTCTTAGTTTAAAAATTCTCATTTAACTTTGTTTGAAAATGTCTTGTACAGTTGCAGTGTCTGTCAACTGAGAAACAGAACAACAATGTTAGTATTAGCAGAACAACTCTGTTCTCAATTAGAATCTTTGCAAACTATTTTTTTTTCCATTTCACTGTCAATATTGTCAAAGTTACAGAATACTAACTTCCACTGAGTTAATAATAGCAAGGATGAACGTCTAATGTGGTGGGATGTTTGAGGACAGCCCAGGAGGAAGATTGATATTTGCTTAAGTGAGAAATGCTTAGACTACAAAATATGTAAGAAACGGCCACAACAATTTCAATAAAATTTCTGCATAGCGGCATCAACCCAAATATGACATCTGCCAGTTTTCAGACATCCCTCAGAGCACAGGGAGGTCTCCATCATCATGTTACTTGTGGGTGATTTTGCTAAAATAGCAAACATGCTGGTTTACATTATTTGCTAATAAAGATTTAGTGCTAAATGCTACACTTTGAGGACCAGTGGATTGATTTTTGCTTCTAACATTGTCCTATATGGGTTGATTTATGGGAATTTAAAAGGCCAGTTGCCACAGCTCTCAAACTCATTGAAACTAACAAGCTCTCCCATTACATCAGGCTGTAGCCTCCAGGCAAAAAAGGGTATCGTAAGTAGCAAAAGTCTTCTAAACTCTTCATAAACCATAACAAAGACAGTGCTTCCAAAGGAATATATGGATTGGGAGGAATAACCACATTTCTGAACATGTGACTCAGAATGCTGACAGGTAGGACGGGACTGGCCTTGGACAAAAGTGGCCACTTATACTGGATACTGAGTTCGCACAGAAGACTCCATTGCTTGCACTTAGCAACTTCTGAAATAATGGAAACCAGACATGGATAGGAGGTGACTATCAGGACAACGTAGCTGACATTGACTTTTTTTTTCTGGAAGGACAAACTATTCAGCTGAGGAAGAGAGCAGCACCCTCTAAGGAGATATCCTCTCTACCTGTGAGGAGAACTAAGAATTGCATACCGAAAATCAAGAGGTACCAACAGTTCATGCTTGCACTAATGTAGGAAGGCTTACTAAAAAGCTGCATGTTTGTGAGAATGGTTTGTGAATACTTTTAGAAGAAAATAGGTGATATAAGCCTTATATTTCTGACTACAGTTAGTTTGGGACCTATTTGTTTATCTGAGAACAAAGGGCTTCAGAATTCACTTTAAAAATATATTTCAGTTCTGACTTAAAGTAATCTTAAGAACACTGTACATTTTTTTTTTGTAATTTCTTGTCCTTTTAGAATACTTGTTGTAGGACATACATACACAGGATTTGTCTGACTATAACAGCATTCACACTGTGTCAGTATCCAGTACATAGATCCTTTAAGCTTATAAAATATTTTAATGGCATATGTACGAAGTGTGAGTGTACTCGGTTTCCATTAAATAAGCAAAACAGTTCCAAAAATGTATGCTTTTTCACATAGTAAATATAGTATTCTTCTATCTTCGATATACTTACCTAAGAAAGTCTAAGGAATGCAGTTCATGTGCATTGGCATGTGTTGATTAGAGTTGGTTGTTTTCTTTAAAATTATCTTTTTCATTCCAATTTCCTATTGTCTATCCTTGGATTTTAAGTCTAAGGGAAATGGCTGTTCTAGCACATCACTGCCTTTATCATAGTAATTCCTGTGTATCTTAATCAATTTTTCCTGTTGATGGCTTATAGGAAGAAAATCTCTGTATTCTCTATTTGGGGTTCTGGCAATTCCCTAGCTATGATTATTTTGTCTCTGTTAGTCCACTCAACAGAGTGATATTTTGGAAGGCGTCATGAAAAATGAATGACTAAGCAGTTAGAATGTGTAAGTGATCTCAGAAATGCTCAAAAGCCTTTCATATCTGATGTTCAGAGATTTTACATATCCAGTTTTACATTTACAAAGGGAATTATGTAAATAATTGCTCTGCACATGTAGTTAGCAGAAGTTCACCGAACTGCCTGTCAGATAAAATGCAGCAAATACCTTCCATTGTATTTGTAAGTATGCTGGCTATACTCATTGCTCTTTGTCTTGCAGCAGAATCTTCCAGCATTTCCATGGAAATTTGATAAGAACTCAGTCTTCTTTTTCTTATTTCTGTTTCTGTAGTGGTGCCCTGTAAATGAAATCCTGAGGAATTAAACCATCCTTTCTGCAGCCAATTAACAATATGTATTGTATAAATATTGCAGTGATAATCAAAATCAGCTTTGTGCAGCATACTACTTTTCTTACACACTGAATATTTCTGTTCCTGTAGGAATTTCTTTGTTCTTTATTGAGTGGGAATTTTGTACAGTGCTACAAATAATCAACTGGGGGACACAATACCAAGGCAATGTGGGACCAAAGGTGTTCTCATTTAAATGACTGAGTGAACAAAATTTTTGCTAGGTATCTTCTTGCTGGGGATTATTATTATTCTTTCAAGAAAAAATGATCAAAGTTGAAACCTGTCACCTTAATTTCCAGCAGCTAGTCATGTTAAATAATTAAAGTGCAAGTACAGAAAGAAGTGAAGTATTATTTAAGAAAGTAACTTTGATCCAAGAAACATGAGTATAATTATAGGAATTAATTATCTCTCTAATACTATGTACTGCATTCCTAACCTGATAAGTGTGGTTGGAAAATTTTAGATGAGAAAATAATCACATCTTATTTAATATTTCTTCTACCTAATTTTCTCCCACCACAATGCTCATACAGAATTTGAAATATATTCTTGCAATGAATATGTAAGTCCTCCCTGTTTTGTATGGCTTCTAATTATCTTTTCAAAGCAATAATGCCCGGCTCTGATTTAAATGTGCCTAACATGTCACTACTCTGTAGTACGTAGGTGTCCTTACAGTTGCTTTGCTTTGCTTCTGGAGTGTGGCCTAGGAATCTAAACACAGGAGAGGGATTACAAAGTTCCTAAATCTTGGCTCCTACTCTACCACTGATTCTGTGATTCATGGAAACCACTCACTCTTTTTCTCATTATTCTGTCCCCATCCAGAAAAGGAATAAAAAAGCCCTCAGAAATCATAAGGGATTTCAAGGTTATCTTAGTGTGAAGATGAAAAACTATTTATGAGCGCTCACTAGTACTATTTCTTTAGAGAAGACTCTTGAGTAAATGGCTAAGTCTTTTTTTCAAGTGAATGCATTTCTGAAATAGAACTATATATGCATAACCTCTGAGGTAATCTGATTGAATTTCTGGTGTGAAAATCTATATCAAGACAAGAGAGAAACAAAAATTAAAAAAAAATGTGTAATAGTAGTAATGAAATCTCAATACCTATTCATCATTAAAATATTTTTCAGGTTAAATACCGTGCTATTATAGCCACCAAAATGCTATACTGAATCCATATTAAAATATTATGTATGAAAAACCTATCTTTTTAGAAAATTTGAAAGAACATCTTATCTTACAGAAGTCTGAGACTGAAATGCAATGTAATTGCAAAGGTATGTAGGAATTGTACCTATTTTTTCTCATTAAAGTTATGAGAAAAAAATCTTCAAGACAAATTCAGTAAGGGGTATTTCTATTAACTATCATGGGAGTAGTAAGTGCATTCTGCTTAAGTTTGCAGGTCTTTTCCTCTACATATTTCCAATTTATATCCTTAGTTATATACCAAATGTCTACCTTTGCTGATGAGGTGAAACTATATACAAATTGTCAAATTCAATTTACGTTTTTTTCTTGCTATGTGCAGATCTGTTGCTGAAGGCAAGAACATAATACTTTACTGAGGCTCAGACATAGGGCTTCTTTTTTTGAGGATTTTTTTTCCCTTATGTTTTGTCATTTAGAAACTACTGCAAGTTATTTCATATAGATCTAAGAAATGATAAGGCATGCAGAGGTTAGCAGTTAGAAAAAAATCTGTGCCTGAACAAAACTGTAATAATTACTGGTTTACTTATAATTACCTCTGGTATAAGTTGACCAGTAGGTGACGTTAGAGTTGAAGGCCCTCCAACCAAGGAAACTACTCCATTGCAATCCACAGTGCTGTGCATCTTCCCATTTACTGGAAGGGCTGGTACCATTCTAGATGACACACTCGCCTGACTAATATTACTGTTGCGCCGTTCTCCGTGACGATTTGGAACAAAGAGAGAATCTCTTCTGCTCTCATTGTCTTCAAGAGTGCTGTGCTCATCATCAGCAAAGTCATTTTCAGATCCTATATCCTTTGCACGACCTCTGAAACTGAAAATGCTTGTTTTGCTGTTGCGCCTTGGTGAGAACAGGGAACCACGAATGCTCAGCAAAGACTGTAAAAGATTTAAACCAAACCAAACCATAACAGCATTAGAACTGAAGTCCTATGTTCTTGGCTTTTCATATAATAAGTTACAGTGCTGGAGGAACGATAATCACTTTTTTCTTCAATAGCATCAGTGTGTCCATTAGGGGAATGTGCTCATTAGGGGACCTGAAGTAGAGGGGGGGAATTCTTTTTAAGGGTAATGTAGCAGGACTGAGGAAAAGTTGTGCAGAAGGCATAAGTAAGGCTGGACAGTTTTGAGCAAAGAGGGCTGGTTGAATTGGTATGGACCCATGTGTCCAGTGTGCTGGAGACAATTCTCAACATCGCTATCAAGGTTTTGCGGGTATTTGTCTTTTATTCCTTCTCCTATTAGAGGACAGAGCTAAAAGTCTTACTTTTCTTCCCTTCTTCATCTCCCAGATTCCTAGGGATAACAACTGATAACTCTCACTAATCATTGTTTTCTATTCCATTTGCTAGAGGCAGAAGTGGTCTTGATTTTGGTATTAAATTCAGTCTAAGTTGATGTAAAGAACTTGCCTGCCCTCTTCACAGTAGGCTCAAAAGTGTGGGAACAACATACTCAGTACTCTAAAACTAGAAGACAAAGGCAACAGCTTGGGGAAGCTCTGGAAGTACAGTGTGAACATGACTAGTAGCACTCTTGGGCATAGCACTCTGGGGGCTATAGCAGGCTGCACACCTACCAGAAGGTACCACTTGGCCATCCGGCAGCTCAGAGCAAGCATTCACCAGGGACACAGCTACCTAAAGATATCCTCTTACAAATGAGAAAAATAAATCAGTGGTTGTTGGTAATTCATCTTTTAATTACAGTAGAAGCTGGTTAATGGAATGTTCTTCTCCCTTGCTACATATTTTATTAACAGCATTCATGAATAAATAAAATGAATACTAACTGTGGAAAAAAGGAACCTTGCATTAAGATGTCTTCAATTCTGCATTTGTACAAATCTTCACATCTTGATACATCAAAACCTGGTTTGAGATGATTCTCAATTTTTCTCTAGTTTTGCAGGTGGAAAGTGCTCATATGTAATAGCAGTGGGTTTTTATCCCAGGATAATTAAAGTGAAAGTGAAAACTGCACTCTAATGTATAAGCTGATATTAATACTGTGAAAACCAAACACTGAATATATACGTATATCAATGCATATGAATACTCAGATTTATAGATACACACACATAATGTGTGTGCCGAACTGGTAGTACTGCCTATTATAAAGGCTGGCAGGTGTTTACCATTATGAGATGCATTTTTTTCCGCTCTTACAGCTATACCAAATTTTAATAATTTGGGCTGAAATTTTCTATGCTGGCTGTCAGCCTCAGGCTGAGTTACTTGAAGAATATCAGCCAAATGGTTTTGCTAACCCATTTATGTAAACTTGGCTGGAGAAAAAGTGCTGCTTTGCTTATGCTGAAAGATAATTTTATCTAAAAAAAAGCTCTAGCTGCTATAGAGCATGACACTGAATTCTGACAAACTAATTACCGCACCCTTTGTACATTTCTTTGTAAATGTATTTGGCCAACCTACAGTCCTTCAAAAAATCACATGCTCACTAGGTTTTGTCTGACTACCGCTGCTACCCTTGGTTTTTTAGAGAATGTTTCCATGGCTGCTATGTTTTGTTTGTAGTTCAATCTTTCCAATATGTGTTATCATGCTCTGAGCACAGCTAAATGGATCAGGCCCCTGAGGGATCTGGGAGGAGTAATGCCTGCTCTGCAAGTCCCTGCTGGATTGAGGCAAAAGATAGATATAAGCCAAAATGGCTGCAATTCTAACACATGTAGAGGCATATATGTATGTGTCTACATGCTCCTGGGAAGTAGGGTTTGAAAGGAAGGCTTGGCTTTTCTTGGAGGCTGCATCATTCATTTGCACATGGAATATTGTGTCCAAGGACAGTACCTCTACAGGGGCCGACTGGGCAGATTATCTCCCCTTACCATTCTACTGTGTTGTTTCACGCTCTGCCACCCTGTTTCACCAGGGAGCTAAATGCATGGCTAACAAGACAAACCAGCCCTTCCTTTACCAGTTCTACTGCCCGTAATCCTACCACTCTTGTGGCAGCTTGGGTTTATTTCAGTTATATGCAATGCATTTTTACAACTGCAAAAACGATTACCAAGACAGTCTTTATTTAATAAATTATCCTCAATTACATTATTTGCTTGATACAAGTCTCTTTGTATTTTAAAATTTTAAATTAATTAAAAAAAATATGCTGCATAATTCATGACATCTCAAGATGGGCTGTTTCCTGTCTGTTGCACCATTTCCTTCTTTTCTTTCAAATCAAAGACATATATAATATTTGTTTTCACGTGATTTTAATGAATTTTAATTATTTATTCTGCAACATGAATTCACGTTTAATTTGAATGTTACTGAAATGCCTTGCTTTCCTAAGGCTCTTAAGTTTCTGTGGAAGTTTCACAGTTCTTCGTGACAGTTGACAAGATGAAAGCTTTCTGAGAGTTTCAGAGTATGAACAAATATATCAACAATGTTTTACTGTGTGTTAATAAGGCTACAGAAAGTTTATTATCTATGGAATCTCTTTGTCTCAAATTCTCCTGTCCTTAGTATACATGCTTCTGTATCATATATTTTTTCTGTGCACCAAAAAATGTACTTAATATAAACATAATTTATTCCTTAATCAGTCTCTTCACCAGAAGTATATAAAAGAGCATCAGTGAATTGAGACTCGACAATGGAGAGGCCTATTACCAACTAGTTAAAGCACAGGACGAGCTGTCAGAAATTCCTTTTTGCTCAGACTTTGTCAGTGACTCTTTAGTGTGTTCAAGTCACCTTCCTCACCTATGAGGTACAGGCACTTATATATATATAAATATAAGTGGGGCAGGAATGTGCAGTCTAAGATGAGATCTTTGGCCACACCTCCTTTGTATCAGCCTGACTCAAAGCCCATTCCAATTAATGAAAGGTTTTTTGGAGCAGCTTTGGCCCAAAACTAATAGTACATGTTATTAGACTGGAAATACGCTTCTACAATATTACTCAAGGGAGTTGAGATAGATTTAATAATTTGTTTTTCTTACATTTTATTTATTTCTTACCCAGAGAACAATCTGGTCATTCTTCTTAATTAAAATAAACATTACTTCACTTCCTTAGAAATGCAAATGTATCTTTTTGAGACACGGCATCATCCCTTATACTTGACTAATTACTGAGGTTTTGTCTCAAATTAAGCTTTCCTCCTCTCAGTGCATATATTTCAGTGTCAAGTATGTCTGCCACTGAATCCTGTATTTTATATGAGATATTTTTAAAAGAATGCTGTACCTGGTGAGGAGAGGTGAACCTTTTTTCATATGTCAGTTGACTTCCTTCTGTGGAGAAGCGGAAACTTTTCCTTCTGATGCTGTCTTCTGACTCGGACTTGGGGAACTTATCGGTATCTCCTTTGTCCTCTGCTTCAGACAATTCTTTCTGTCTTCTTTTTTTCCTTCTGTTTCTTCTTTCTTTAGCACTTTTTGAGCTCAACTTTGATGCTTCTGAAGAACTTTCCAAGAGTTCTCCTAATCCCCCTACACCACTGAAATCTCTCGATGCAACTGATGCTGCTGCTACTGCTGCTGTTGCCTGTCAGGTTACAAAGCAAGGTACTCTTAGTCAGCTAAAAATGAACCATTTTATAGGCTTTTTTCAACTGTTTTTATCATCACTGTGGTAATACTGCTGGTTGTAAATACTTGAGTATGCAAACATACACAAACAAATTGAACTGAAGATAAACTTGAGTTTTATAGCTCCTTATTGTTAGGCTACTTGAAGCATCAACTTCAGCAGTAAAATAGCATCACTATTCCTTAAACACTTGCTGCACAAGACATTGGTCTAAAATTAAGTTAGTCAGAAAATTATAAACATGGTGCTTTTTCCTGTATTTCAGACCTGCTTCACCATTTTCTCTTGAGAAAAGCCCACATCGTGCTCTAATTTGGTTGATCCCTTCTGAGTCCTTACAGACAAAACTAATCCCTAAGATCCACCATATGAATTAATGTATCATAAACCAACTAGCAGCCTGCAAGTAGTTGAATCCAGCCTTTCTTCACTGACTTCACAGCAAGGACACTCCCTTCACTTTCCTTCTACCTTCACTGGCAACAGGCACACGCTCTAGACATGTTTTCAAACCCTACGTCCCTCTTCATTTTTCCTCTCCTACATTTCCCACTGTAACAGCACTCTAGGTCTTTGTTATAGATACACAAAGGTACATTTATTGCCTGTTGCTGCTGTGGCCAGAGAGAAGAAAAAGTTTAGGTTTCTTCTCTGATAGAAAGATGACTTATTGGAGCAAGGAGCCATCCCAAAACTCAGGACCAGTACCTTCAACTACAGTTGTCAGCCTACCTGATTTGGTCTACTAGGGAAACTGGTTCTTTTAGTCATCAAATAAAAGAAGAACTGAGAATGTATTCAGTACTCTTCCTAGAAAGAACTGTCTGGGAGATAGCTATGACCTTCTGCAGTGGAAAATAGGTTTGGGAAGATGACAGGCTGCTGTGAGCTTACAAAAAAGGGTTGTGTGATAAATGGCAAGAGACTAGGGTTATATAGCAAAGATGCCTATTAATTATCTGGCAAAACATATTATATTCCATGCCAAGTATTTCAGGAATTGAGATACCTCTCTACAGCAGGAAAAGATAGTCTGAAAGCTCATAGTATGAATTAATGGCTTTCTGTGCCACAATATACAACCCATATTATTTAGGTTTACTTGATACAGACTTTTTCTGCTAAATGAAGTATTAAAAGGATTTTGAAGTGTTTATCAATTAAAAAAAGTGATACTCAAAATTTTGTCATACTGGTTTCAGAATATCATCCTTCAAATGCTCTAACAGAAAAAACGCAGCAGGTGCTGCCTGTAGATCACCCATCTACTTCATTACACTAACACCAAAGGTCAAACAAGCAGAGCAATCCAAAGACTGCCACAATGGCTTAGGTTTGTGGATGAATAGGTTCAGTGTCAAGGGAGTGAAGAGATGGGTCCCACATTCATTTCCATCTCAGCAACCAATTCAGCAGCTCAGTGATCCACCTTGTAATGCATACTTTCTGCTGATATTTTCACAGACAAAAGTGTTCTTGACTGTAATACTGCTTTTCTTATAAAGAATTGAGTGGTTTAAAAAAGTAATGAATGTCCAGGGTCTCTGTCCAACCTGCCTTGTAGTCTATGTTTCTTATGGTTCTATTTTTCTTCCTAATTCTGGATCAGCTTCATCTCTGTCCCCAATCTCAAACACACAAACATGTAGATGAACGTCCTGATATCTTTTGATATAATGTGATTTAGTGTCTTTCATGGATGAAAATACCAGTTTTTATAAAAAAAAAACAAACCCTCTTTGCTGACATTCAACTGTTTCTTAATTTGAATTTTGCAGGATTCTGCTTTTTATTTAGCGATTTGGAAGTGATAAGGTTTAATAACTAAAATAGAGATATGCTAATTAGATCTCACAGGTCATGCATAAAGCTTTCTTTTCAAGAAAAGGAGTTTCACTTTCTAGTAGCACTTTACAGAATTATTCTAACTTACTGAAAGTAGCTGCAAAATACTACCAAAACTATAGTTGCATAGAATATTCTCATTTTCTAGCATTTTATAAACATTGTCCTGTTGAAAATGACTATATGCCAGATGAAAAGCAGTAGAAAATCAATCCAGAAATTAGACAGATGTCTGACTTGGAGAGCTTCATGTATTTTACATTCAGATAAGAAACCTCACACAGAAGTCTCTAGGAAAATGTCTTTTTCTAATAAAACTTTAAATAATTTTCTTCTTCTCTTTTCAAAGAAAACAGATTACTTTAAAAGTATTCTGAATTAATACCTTTGATATAAATATTGCCTGTCTGTTCTATGGATATGTAAACTTCTGATTGACTTCAGTATGCTTGAATTAGGGATATGCTTAAATACCTTGGTGGGTAGAAACCTAAAAGAACACTGATTACAATCCTTCTCTCTATTTTCTGAATATTGGGGAAGAACTATTAAGTACAGGAAGCTTGGAAATTCTCACTTAGACCGTAAACCAGAAATAATGTCCCTAGACTTTTTTCATGCTGTTCATAAGACCTGTAAGACAAAAGCATCATGAACTATGACTACTTGAAGTCGTGTTTCTAGGACACTCTTATCACAAATATTTGACTTTTACAGTCATTTGGTGAAATTAGTAGCATTCTTTTCTGTACCGTTAGGTTACTTGTTTGCTATTTGGTTAGTTCCTGATTTTCATTGTCTATTTCCACTTTTATAACTTGCTTGGTAAACAAGACTTTTTTCTTCCTGAAATTCATGGCACAATTTATACATGTTTAATTCACAGAAGGTTATTATCCTTGCCTTAAGAATAAGGCAGTTCAGTAAGTACAATTTCCATCATTACCTGTGCTTCTTCTTGTTGCTTCTTCAGTTGTTCCAGCATCTGTTGAAATTCTGCCTCTTTCTGCTCTGCTTCTTCCATGGTCGCTTGATTCTGTTCTTCGTAGGCCATGGCGACCACAGCCAGGATCAAGTTGATCAGGTAGAAAGAGCCCAGAAAAATCACCAGAACAAAAAATATCATGTATGTCTTCCCAGCAGCACGCAGTGTCTAGGGAGTAGAAAGCATATCTATATATTATTCCACCACTTATCCTTGTTACTGCAGCAGCATTATGCTTTCAGCTCATGTACAAATAAGCCGATTTATATAATTTTGTATGTCACCTACAGTTTACTTTTTATGTCATAAAAATTTCTTACCAACTGATACAGGTTTTCCCAGAAGTCCTGAGTCATTAGCCGAAAGAGTGACAAAAAAGCCCAGCTGAAAGTGTCAAAACTTGTGTAACCATAGTTGGGGTTTCTGCCAGCTTTCACACATATATATCCCTCTGGACACTGCCTATGTGAAAACCAAACAGGAGGTACTTAGTCATAACTTTTATTTCCTTCAAGAACATATTTGTTATCTTTAGGAATAATATGCATTATTTTTCCACAGAAAATCCATGAATTGCAATTAAATTAATTCAGAAAAAAAATTTCTAAGAAATTAATAGGAGTAAATGAAAGATACCCTTTCCATCCATTCACTGGTTGAAATGACCTAAATATTTAAATTCTCCTCAGTCACATTTTGCAAATAGAATCTTTATTCCGGATGAATAATTTCCTGGCAGAAATAGTTGCTAAAATGTTGTTAAGATTACAGACAGATTAAACAATATTATTAACTAAAACCAATTGCACTGTTAGGGATCTCCCACATAATACTGAGGGGTTTTTTTAATAAGCTTCTTCACTGTTACCAGCTAGGTATCAGAGTTCAGCTAACAGTTCTAGGGTCATAACTGGAAACATGTGTATGGCAGAATTTTCCAGTAATGAAAGAGTTAGGCTTGAAAATAAAGATTGCCTTGAACTATGAAGTTACTACTGTGCTTTCTTAGTATTTTACATATTCTGTTTCTCAGTCCTAACCTTTGCTTACGTCCTGTTTTCTTCAATCAGTAATCTCCAAAATAGACTTTACAAGAGTTCAGATTTTATCATTAACACCAACATCATTTTCCAGTCAAGCAGGAAGAAAGGCTGTTAATGAGGATTTTGTTTAGCCAGAGAGTAAAGTAGTTTGACTGAAGTAAGAAATCATTGTTTAGCAGCAAAACTCTAAGTTCTGTAACACAGTTAAATATGGAGTTGCAACTGCTACAGATAGGTTTCATGTTATTACTTTTTCTACAGAATATAACAGAGAATTTTTGAAAGGGTCTTACCCTGCATCAGAGCTGTTACCACAAAGTAGGGCATCTCTTTGTCCTTCCAAGATGTAAAAATGAGCTGTGTAGAAAGCATTGGAAATATATGTGATTAAATCAAATCAACCTGAAAGTACTACAAAGTAAATTAAAAATAATTTTTAACAAAATCAAAGTGGCTAGCTGCTGATCATTTTATAGTTTGTTTAGGAAGCTTTGTGGCTACTGTACTTGTTTACTGTAGGTATTTAATCTCTGTCAGTTAGTGTCTGTAAGCAGTTCTACAAAAGGCAGAAATATAAACCATTCAATATTCTTTGTTTGATCACAAATAGTTACATAGTATAGCCATAAATATATTAAAAATAGTTATATCTGTCATTCTTACTTTCATCCTCAATGTAATCCTTCCAGTTAAACATGCTCACTGTCAGATTAACAAATGTACCATTTTCATCCATTGTGCTATTAAAGTAGGAAATAACAGTTGTTTCAAAAGTAGAATTGTCTGGAGGCCACTGCAGGCATTTATTCCTCAAGTTGCCCATGAACAGCTGCAGCCCTATTAGTGCAAATACACTCAGACAAAACACAGTCAGGATCATAACATCTGAGAGCTTCTTCACAGACTGAATTAGGGCTCCTACAATAGTCTTTAGGCCTGCGAAGAGAAAAGATCCATAGATTTATCAAAGAGTACCTTTGCCCTTCCCACATAATTAAGATGTCATGCAGACACTTAAAGGAAATTATTTTTTATTTCTCAAAAAGTAAAGCTTCATGAGCAGCCTCAGAGCTTGTGAAGATGAATGAAAGAAAAAGATTATTTTTATGAATATGCAATGTACATATATTCCAATAAACTGAACACATAATGTTATTCTCAAGCAGGAAATTTTATCAATCATGCTTTCCTTTTATAGATTTGATTTTGTTTCTTAACTTGTCTCTGCATTTAATATTCTGCCAATAATTAATTTTCCAGTTAATTTTAAAAATGACTTCATAACAGTATGAAGATAGTATGAGATAGAATTGCAAGTCATTTTGAGCAAAAAAAATCATTTGTGTTTGATAAATTTTCCTGTGCAATATTTTTCTCCTTTTTGGTAGCTTTTTTGTTGTTACTTGGTTGTCTTTAAGACTAACATCAATTTTAAGTGGCAAAATAAAGGAAAAAATTAAAAATCAAGAAAGCCATAGCGCTAAAGCTTTTTTAATGTAAAAGAGACAACTTCTCATAATAAAATGCAGAAAAACAAAGCAAAATAACCCATAGGCCTCATACTTTTCATGCAAGAATCTGTTAAACTCAAAGGCTGATTTTGCAAAATAAAAGAAGCTAATGCTGAAAAGGCAAAGAATCATAATCCAGGCTTATGATCCATGCCTTTTTTTTTTTTTTTTTTTTTTTTTTTTGCAACACGAGCAGCAGACAGCAAGACTTATGCTCAAAAGAAGTGAATTCAACTTCAATGGAACGAAAGTCAGCCTCGGTGTTTAACCTCGCTCTCACCTGGAATGACTGATATTGTTTTCAAAGCTCGGAGAACTCTGAATGTTCTCAACGCTGAGACATTGCCCAGGTCCACAAACTCTGTCACATATCTGTAATAGGGGAGTTCACACACAAACACAATGACAGCACACAAATAACAATTGGAGTTACAAGGGGCCTAACACCTTACACCAACTACTTCTTACCTGGGATTACAGAAATAGTTTTCAAAGCTCTCAATACTCTGAAAGTTCGAAGAGCTGAAACATTGCCTAGGTTTACAAATTCTGTTACATACCTGTAGGATTAAATCACAGTTATTCAGAATTGAGGCAGAGCTTATACTAATTATGTGGGTCTTCAAAACCTCTGTGGCAATATTAGCAATCATGCTTCAAAATTTACCTGTCTCTTCAGTACACCTCGCTTTTATAATTATTTATTTTCATCAATTTTGCTTAAATTTCATTGAAGTGAAACTCACTGATTTGTATTTGAACAGCTAATTAAACTAATTATCTTGTAATAGGATGGTGACATGAAGTCAAAGGGATAGCTTCCATTCTGGTGAGCCGAAAAATATAGGACATGAAATTAGTGTCCCTCAGCAGTAATTACACTAGTGGCTGACACTTGGTGCTGGCTTCTGCCATATCTTACTTTGATTTATGAGTACTAAAATGTGTGATACAGTGTCTATACCGCACAGGTTGCAGAAAAATAAATACTTTTAAATCAACACATTTATTATAATAATATTTGCCACTAATTTCATGCCCTAAAAGCTTAAAAAGTTCTTGAACCACTTACGCCATTAAAATGACACTGAAGTCAAGCCAGTTCCATGGGTCTCGCAGAAAAGTAAAGCCTTCTAAGCAGAAGCCCCTTGCAAGAATTTTGATAAGTGATTCAAAGGTATAAATTCCAGTGAAGGTATACCTGAAAACCATCAAAGCAGGAATAATGGATTTTTGCATACTTGTGCTTATAGACGGTACCATTCTTTAGTAAAGATGACTTACAAGACAAGAAAAGAAAAAGTATTTAGAAGTGAAAGGAGGAAATCATTAACTTAACTTGCCCCAAACAGTTAAGAATGCAATCGTTGCTCAGTAGGTGAAATTTGAATCTGACATATATATGTACTATTCATTTTCTAAAAGGTTGATTTAATCTCAGCTTTTGTGCTTGCCAATAATTTCAAACTCTAGTATTTATGATACATTTCAGGCTTTGATATTTATATGTACATTCTCTGGCAGTCACAGGGCTGTCTTTGCTTGCATTCACACATCAGGTAGATGTCTAATTGTTGCAAAAAATGAAGAATTTTTTAATTTCAAAATCAGAGCATTTTGTGAAAATCAGTTCTGGATAATAACTATACTGATGCCTATAATACAGGTTTATTTCATAAATAATCATTAAATATAAGAAAGCATGCCCAGACTGTTATTCTTGAAGATGTGGAGCATGATTACCAATTTACCTGGTGTGGGAACAACTATTCATTTATAGTTAGTTATAACCAGCATAATGCAGGGACTTCCTGAGACCCGTGTGGGTCTGTGCAGACCTCCAGAATAAAGAAAATCTACCTACAGACCCTACTGCTCTCCTTTCAGACTCTCAGCAACCCTAACAAGCCATAGTCACTGTTGAGCATACTGGGAATGGGTGAATATTAGTGCAGTTTCTAAATACAGCATTCAGAGTAAGATTCTCTAATGCAGTGAAAAAATAAATATAAATCAATAATGGCCATTGGAGAACGTGAGGGAATGAAAGAAACCACAGAAGGTTAGAAATAGGTTTTTCATGAGTAGAATTATTTCAAAGAAAAACATAAGATTTCAAAGGGAAACGCGTATCTGTATTTTGCTAGAGAACAAACATGGATGTCTAACCACAAACAAGAAAGAGAAACAGAGCTACTTTGTCATTTCCTTAGTTCTGTGACCTCTTCATTACTACTTCATAGGTAAGGCCCTTTCCTCAGGGGTTGAGCTTCCTGTGGTTTGGGTGCTGTGTGTGCTTGCTGTGGCTGGTGCTTGTGAGTTCACATCAGTGAGCCACAATGAATGTCCCACTGCGCTAAGATCATGGATACTCAAGGAATATATGGCTGGCCTCACCCATGACATGCAACAATTTTACACGCACATTTGAAATTCTGGAGCTCCTTTTCCAATTTACAGCTCAGAACACCCAAGGACAAGAGCTCATGTTCATACTTCACAGTAGAACTTCAGATGTTCCTCAGACATAATTTTAAAGAATAAGGCATTACTCTTAACCGTTTAAATTATTCAGGAAGAAACCAGGAAGATACTGATAATCCCATGAAATCTGATTCTTCATGACTCTGCTAAAGCCCATTCTGACATGCAACTTTCCAAAAATGCTTCTTGTTTGGAGCCACGCAAAAACAAAGTAGTAAAAATTAAGAAGTAAAAATGTTTAACTTACTCTACATTCTTTGTCCACTCTGGAGGGTTGCTCATGGTCATAAATACACAGTTGGTCAAAATAGTGCACATAATAAGCATGCTGAATAATGTAGATTATAGTCAAGGGATGTAATTCAGAAAAACATGACAGTTTTATAACACTGAAATAATTAAAATATTAATTGTATAAAAATATGTACAAATAACATGGCATGCTAAATAAAATCTGAAAATAAAACTTTGCACACAATTTTATCTATTTTAAATGGTATGCCATCTGGTATGTTATGGTGCACTTACTGTAAAACAATGCATTACTTTTATAATTATGGCAGATTTAGGATTTAAATGAAACCAGACACATCCTTAAGTCTGTAAAAATATGAAATGAGTACCCAAACATATCTACTCATTGAAGCCAGGGGGGTCATTCTAAAAGATCTTTAGGCAGAGGTTGGTTGGTTGTACCCAAGTTGTTCTTTGGACATGATTGAAATGTATTTGAAAATGTTCTCTTTTATTCTGACCTGGATCTTTTATAGGACACCTACTCCAATGCTGAAAACACAATGCTGGAAAAGTATGCCTGAAAAAGCAACTCTTTACTCATGCTCTTTTTGTCCTTGCTAAGTGAATCTAGTTCATGAATAGTACTACTGGTCCTGGTAAAAGTGTGACCTTAGATATGTTCGAGTGCAATGGTTTGTTACTAATTTGGCCTCAGCTGCAGGGCTTAGTATGGGATCAGGTCTCCTTTTGTATATAGAGCCTGATACTTAAACACCAACAGCTCTAGGTGGTTCAGTAGAGGATTCTCTTGGTAAGAGTGAAGATCATACTGCAATTCACATGTGATATTGCTGCTTTTTAAGTGTGATCAGCATATGTTTAGTTAGCATAGTACACCCACATGAACATAATTTGTGTATCCGTATGAAAAGTATTATTTTGGTAATTAAATAGTTTTAAATGGCAACACTTAAACCAACATTAAGAAAAAAGGATATGAATGTACCAAAATCTTGATAGCAATTTTTCTGATGGGATTAAAAGGAGTTAAAATGTACAAGGCAGATGTGGCACTGAATCGGAAAATTGCCTTTCCCTTATTCAATACTATGAAAGTCTGCAAAAAAGAAATACAAAATTAAAATATGGCGTTGACCACATAAATGTCTTTGCCTCCTTCTAAAGGATTCCCTTCTCTGCCTGGGAGGTTCTAGTTCCATTCTACTGTGTACCTGTGGTAGGAAAATAACTGATTTCTATCAATACAGGGGATTAAGCCTTCCACAGCCAATTTTCCAGTTTGCTAAATTTCCCAGCATGTGGACTAAATTCAGATATTATTAAAATTGGTGGAAATAATCAGTACCAATGTCAGTTTATCAATAACAAGATGCAGCATTTCATCACTAAAATATTTTCAATTCTATTTCTAATGAAGTCTTTGATTAAAGTCAGAGTTTCAAACTAGTCGAATACATTCTACCTTGTGAGCAAACACTAACAAACCCAAAACAGCAAAAGGGCAATTCTAAATGCCAATTTGTATTTGGAACAAATACTTGACAAAATTATATACACATATATGTGGTGACAAGGACAAACACCTATCTCTAAACAATAAATTATAATTTGAAAATAATTTTGCTTTCATTTTAGAATGTTAAGTACTACCACTATAAATTATATGTATCTTCTAAAAATGTATCTGTGAAAAAATAAAAGGGATTAAGAAATTGCTAGCTGACATCATTCTGAGCAGTCTGAGACAAACATACACCAGAATTTGGCATCTTGTAACAACAAATCTTTTCTTCAAAAAAATGCTGTTCTCATTTTTAACACTATGCTCTTATTTTCCCTGTATGTGAGCACCAAATTTAGGTAGTTATTATCTTTTAAAATTTGACCTGATAAACCTACAGTTCGTGTTCACTTTCATTCTGTTCCTGTTGGCAGTCATTGCCTAAATGTTTTCATTTTTATTCCAAGTGTATTTGTGTGTGAGGTTTACTTGCATCTTTGGTGCTGTTTGAAATTTCTTCAGGACATGACCATTCTTCATTCCTTTTGCTCTTTGTCAGTGGTAATGGCTCTGCTTTGTGTTACCATAATGGAGTCTTTATTACGCTCTCAGCAGAGCTATATAGTATCACTGTTCTCCATGTTGACTTCCATTCTCTGTAAAAACTTGGCTGTGATCAGAAAAATGCTGCCCTCTCCGTGGCCTTTACTGCCTATCTGGTCTGCCGCCTCTGGGAGGGAAAGCAAACCTCTCTACAGTGGGAAAGACGACAGGTAAAGGAGTGGCGCTGGTGCCTGTTCACAGAGTAGTATCAAGCACAGCATTTAGGATGACAGACAACAGACTCACGCTCATTGGCATTTCTCTCTGCCCTACAGACCTTCACCAGGCCAGAAATGGCAGAAAGATGTTGCCTGTCCCAAGGTCACTGCTGCAGCAGAGCCTGAAGACAGACTCCAATTCACATATGATTTGCTTTGCATTGACAAGTCAATGATTAAGAGTAGTTTCTGCTATAAACTGGAGGAAGGATGACTAATTCTAGTTCTTCATTTAAGATGTCCATTTGTTTTCTGTCGAGCACATTAAGCTGATACGTAACATATGTCACCTATGACAAATGATTTTGCAGTTTACTAATTATTCTCATAGACTAAGTCCATCAGTAGCCTGCGTTTTTACACTTTTGTTCCAAAAAATCTGACCACTTTTTCTAATCACTGGAGGTTAGAAAGTATACTTCAGTACTTCTCAGGTTTTCTGTACTTCATTTGTAGAAGACTTACTTAGAAAACTTTAGTCTTGAACTTATTTATGCAACTTTATTCCTGAATTATTTTGCAGCTAGTCAAGAAAAGGGGCTAGAGCACACAATTTTACTGTAAGTAAGAATCTGCATGGAACTGTTGATACAACCAAAACCTTATAAATGAAAATAACCCTCGGCAGCACTCCCTCTCATTTCTTTAAATTTCCTTAATACTGTTAATATTTGTATTATCTACATCACTATTTATTTAACTTTGGCAACTGTTAGGTTATGCAATTACATATGGATTCTGCTTTATTTTCCATTCCTATTACAGAAGACATGATTTTTGAAACAGTTTTGCGAATGAAATTTAGCCACAAATTGAGGACACTATTGGCATAATTTTTTCCTAACAAACAAAATAACTTTCTCTGCAGTTTAAAATATTTTATGTCTTCCTTTTTTTTTGTAGTTGCTCAACATCAAGTTTCTTATCTGGATGGCAGCCTGGAATGCCTTAAGCCGTCATTAGAGCAACTGTGTCCATTTCCTTCTCTATTTCAGAGAGACGAGGAAAGATAGTCCCAAGCACTTGTCCATAAAACACCTTCTGCATTTTTTGTTATTTATGGTTATTACCACAGCTTCATCTTCCTTCACTCTCCTTACCCACAGCACTTTGCAGGTCTATCAGGAACTGGGAGAACATCTTGATGCCGCTAAAGGAGCACGCAGAAATAAGCACATAGAGAGTACAGACGAGAACCTGCTCTTACTGCCAGCTGTACTTTTTACTAATCTGTGTGGGACATAAGGTATTTTTAACTGTTCCCAGACTGGACTATTTCAGATTCCAGACGAATTTAGCAGTCTGCAGCTAATCCCAGCTATGGAGATATATTTGTTTGTTTCTTGTCTTTCTCTTAGGTCATATAATGGTAGTCTGTTTCCAGATTATATGAATCATTGCTACAAGACAAAATCCATATACTCTACTGCGCATCCTGACTTTTAAAAAGGTCAAGGGGAAAACTTTTTAGTTGAATGGATCTGTTTGAACTAGTCTTTCTTTTTCCAAGTCTGGCTTGAAAATTAGGACTTTGTATGACTGTGCAGGTCAGAAGGGAAGCACACCTCTTTTAGGAGTTTAAGTTCTCCATGGTACATGACTATGCTATTAGTGGTCCAGCTGTGTTACAGCCTCACATATGTAACTCAGGCACATGATTTTTCTCTCACAACACGTAACTCTTCACTCTGCTCTTTCTGCATGAAAACCCTCAATTAGTCTTCAGAACAACAAAACTGTCTTTTTTTGATTCCTTCCTCAAAACCTAGCTTTTCTGTGGTCTGCCACAGACTTCTAATTGACAGCTGTGTGGCTGAGAACTGTCATAGCAATCCCAAGCACCTCAAGCAACAGTTTTCATTGCGGTAGTTTTATATGACCCAAGATTTACACAGAGTCGCTATATGCTACATATATAGAGAGACACAGTTTATACATAAACAGATAGATATATGTTTACATATGTTATATAGCTGTAACAGAAGCAAAGAATATGGTTACAGTCCTTCACTAACTTGGATAGATGCTACCTGGTTATCTACAACCACCTCCACTGCAAAATCATGCCTGAACACTTCATTTGTCATATCCGGTCTTACTGCTACATTGAAATCAGGAAAATTCAGTCATGTTCTCAAGTTCAGGCAAGCTCAAGGAAGCTGTATCTTCCTTACACTGAGATAAATAACAAGTAACTCAACAGAAGTTGAAGGATTCACAATAGAGAAGACCATAAATCAGTTATGTTAGATGAAAGGATGTTTCTGTGTATTTACTGGCTTGATGGCTGTAACCATCTTATTTTGTGATTAAACTTTTCTAATGTAAAAATTTATATTCTATTTTGTGCAAAAGATTATTCACTCACCTTTTTATTGATATAATATGGGTCCAGGTCTTCCAAAGGCTCAGATACCATTCCTGGAGGTATGTCACCGTAAATAAATGGCAGTGTCTTTCCTGCCTCCAAGTCACTGTTTGGTTTTGGACCATTTTCATCATCATCATCGGTATGTTCTTGCTTGGGCTTTTTAGCTTTTTCTTCTGCAGAACGCTTTTCAATAGCTGCGAGAGAATCTCTAGTAAAATAGCGGAAGCTTTCAGGTCCTGGTGGTACCAGCAGTGCCTGTGCCATGTTTTCATCCTGCAAATTTAATTACTTTTAGCTTCTTGCATAAGAATGACCTATAAAAGAAAATTAGATAATTTAGGAAAACTAGATTGTACCAATAGAAAAAAAAAAAAAAAAAACAACCAACCAACATTTGCTCAGAAACACTTTCCAGGCCTGAAATAGAAGCAGCATATTTCAAAACTGAATAAAAGTTGAAAGCAACCGCTCAGAATTTATTTAGATACTTTATAAATTATTTTTTAGCTTTTTCCTGCTGGTCTAGAAAAAGACACTACTCCTGCCCACAAACACTGCTTTGCCTATGTTCTTAGACTTCCAGTTAGAGCAAAATACTGATACAATTTTTTTAACAGTACATCTTTTTTTTTAACAGCAAGTGTAAATGCATATTCTATGAAGTACTCTTGAAAATTATAAACCTGTATTTTAATAGTTAATACATTTTATCTTCCATATTTTTTCAAGTATCAGTAATCCAACTTTATAAATGTAAATAATTTCATTAAATGAAAAAGAAAGTTTTGTACCTTCAATGCGGTTTAAATGACAGCAATTGAATTATGGGAGGAACAAGCATAATTCTTCCTTACTGACAGTTTACTGTGCTGAAGGTTAATGTTAGATACCAGAGCAGGTTAGGTTGCATTTATTGACTGTCTGTGAGCTGTGAATCAAAACCACAAGCCTTTTAAGTAAGAGGAAACAGGATGTACAATAAAGATCATGTGGGAAAAAAATGCTGCTCCTGATTTTTTGCAAGACAAGTATCATCATATTATTTCAGACTAAAACTGGTTTGAAATTTAAGACTCTGGTCCCCTATGAATGTCTTTGGTGCCAGTGCTGGCTGATGTAGCCCTGCTGCTTTTCTCTGCTCTGCAACAAACTCTCCACTGTAGAACACATCTCTTTATGAAGCCCTGCAGTGCATCGGCTGAAAGTAATATTCTTGTCTTTCTTCCAAGTGCAGTGGGGAGGTTTGAATGGCTGGAGGGAGGGAATGGCAGAAGGAAGGCAGATCTGGTTAAGGAGCAGGCCACCAAATAAGAAATGATATCCTTATGTTTGTGGCATAGTGTAGTAATAAATTTAAGTATGAAAACCAATTTTTAAGAGTGAGTGTCAGTGCCTGAAATGAGTTATAATTGTGTTTTCTGTATATGAGGCCATGTAGCCTTCCCTATGTTATCTCATAACCGTGCAACACCTGTATTCTGGAGTTGCCGTGTCTAGATTTGAGACATAATATTGTATTTATTTGCATCCATTCAATAGTCTTTCTCCTAAAGCTTCTTGCCTGTCTGGAGTAGTTTGTAGAAACCACACACACACAAAGTGCCAAAGTAATGACCTTATGAAATAATAGATTCCTTTTCAAATGACCCCCAGAAAATCAAATCCTGTACAAAGGTAGAGGGGGATGTTAAAAAGTGCTTAAAGAATCTACAGTAGAAAACTGGAGGAAAGAAATGAGACTGCATATTCCTAAATCTGAATTACCAACCCAATGACATGGTGGGTAAACCTGCTCCTGTACCACTTCAAGTCTTTACCTCTGGAGTGGGTTCACATCGCTGCATCAGTGTGTACAATCAGCACTGAGATGACTGAAATAATTTAGTCAGTGAGTTATATCACCAAGCATCTAAGTAACACAAGACCAGAAACAAGGTACCTGACTGTAAATTCATGAATAAAATATACTGCAATGTAGACATGGAGGAAGCTTTTCTCAAAGAAGAGCCTGGAGAACCATGAGTTAATGTAATTTGTAGAATCACAGAGATCATGGAGGGGCTGGAGGTACTGATGCAGTACAAACTGAAAAATAAATTGTTAAGCCAGCCAGAGTCTCCAGCAGGCAACCTTACCACATGTTGCTATACTGAAACTTCTGCTACTAATTTTTAGTTTGTACAAGATGGAAGCTGATATTTGTTTTTTATTGATGTAACTTCCAATTATAAGGTTCCTAAACTGAAAATTGTCCTTTATCTGAGAATTGAAAGCAAACACATTCTCTGGATACAGTCCACATGGTTTTGCTTATTGCTTTCACCCATCCAGGATTAATAAAATAAGATGTTTGAGGTTTCCTTTTGGTTTTTCTGAATAATTGTTTCCTTTATTACATTTTACAGGTCTGTGATTCAGGTTCTTGACCTAGGTGCCTTTTCTATGAAACTAGTCTTAAAAGGTGTACCCTCCTAGAGCCATCAGGAGGGCCGTCTTCTCTTTATAGTTCAGTGCATTTGGTTAGGCTGCTTTTCATCTGTTAACAATTTCAGTTATGAATGCTATAAAAAATATATTTTCCTCACTAGAAGCATATGTATTTGTATTGCTAGAAGCCCACAAAGGGGCCAATGAATGACTGGGAAAAGTACTATTAGCAGACTTGGGGTTTCACCGTATTTCTCAGACATAAAACATGCTTTGAAAAAGTTTGCTTGAGAAATTGGAAACATCACTTGAATCCTGCCTCCACTGCTGTATAGTGCAGTTATATCTTTCCTGGCTGCTGCTATTACACAAGAAGTTTTTTCCTATACTAAATATACCCCAAGTGTTTTCATTCAGATTACAGAGCTTAATAGAACAACACACAAGTATGTGTTTGATTACTGTTGCCATACATGCGGTAGTTTAATAGAATGATGAAACAAAAGTATTTCTGTTCTGTGCACTGAGCCCTGAACAAGCTCTTAGCAACCTTTGAACTGTGAACCGCTTGGATTTTAGTGATAGCTTCCCTCTTCTTCCTTCACTGTTTTAAAATTGCTTGCTATCCTGTGGCTAAACTGCCAGGACATGAATGATACTGGGCATAATTCAGACAAACAAAGAATTCTGTCTATCTAATCATTTCAGAATAGCTTTAAAGGAATAGTCTCAAAACCACATGTAAGATCTGAGTGGTCCAGGCCCCTCAGTACCTGATACTGCTCAGCAAAAAGAATTTCAAGTATTTGAAATACAGTTTGGGCCTAGATACCGTATGTATAATAGTCTACAATTCAATAGATTTCATTAGAAAAAATAAGCTCCAATTTATTAAAGACATACTTCTGTTAAATAAATCCATTTAGTTGTAATTGAGCATTGCATTCCATAAATCCTTATCCAGTTTTCCTTCAGTCCCTTACTTTAAATTATAAGATTGAACAACAAATACTATCCATATGTTCTTCATTTTATGCATATTTCAGTTAATTATATTATGTCTATGGATAACTTGTTAAATTTTATTTTTGAATATATTTATCTTCTCATCATTTACATAGAAGATGACTCAGAAAGTGAAATATCTGTGCTAACAATGTCAAATTAATTTTTATGTGTCTCTGAAAAAGCCAGAAGTGACCTGAAGTATCTATTCTTATGATATCTTAAATCAGGCAAATGGTAAAAGTGAAAGTGGCAGTGTAAGAACCAGGCGGATACTATGATTATTTATTAAAATCATCAAGTTATCTAACAGGTTATTTGCATTCTGCATGAAACAATTCACACATACCCTTCAAAATTTTCAAGGTGGAGAAATAAGAAACCTTGCAGTGTTTCTTATGGGCTGTTTTTTTTGGTTTTACAACACTGGCATCAGAATTATTTTCCTGCTAAAACCCTGAAAAAGCTGACTACCGAGATTTTCATTCCATTAAAACTGAAACACTGGCACACAAACACCTACTTGATTAAGAGTTGGAATACGCGCGAGGCTAGCAAATGGATTCTGTAAAATGACCAAATATCCTAATTTTCTTATGCTAATCTTTTATTTGAGAAGCTGTAATTTGGGAATAATATCTTTATCAGTGCCAAGCACAGCAATAGCCTCTCAGATGCTAAAATCTGGATTAAAAACTCTGCTCTAAATCGCTAGTGTTAATAAGACTAGCTGTCTCACATTAGGCCAGTAGAGATATTTGTCCAAATCAAAAGGGTGGGGCTGCCATGGTAGGAGAGAGGGAAACTACAGGGCTAGCGGCACCACTTTCACTTCAGCTAGAGATTATTTTCTGCAGCTTTAGAAGTAAAAAGTGTAGCTGTTGGGTTCTGACATCATCAGAAAATTATCATAACTCAAACTACCACTGTCCTGAAGAGGAAAGGAGTACAGAGGGAGTGGATGCATGAAGAGTCGAAAGAAATGAGTCATCTTAACTCCCTCTCTTAGTGTCTGGGAAATTGTTTTGCAAAATTCAGGTAATATTTTTCTGAAAGTGAAGATAAGTTATGTTTAAGTTATTGTGCTCTGATGCTGCATTCAACTTACCTTAAAAAGAAAAGGATGGATAAATATTAGTTTGCTGTAAGACTATCTAAAATGAAATATTTTTATTGAAATTTCTCATGGCATTTGTGCACAGAGACTAATTTCTCAAAGAAAAACCAATCCTTTTATCTGCTGAAATGCTTTGCAATATTTTTTACAGTTATACATTATTTCCTTTTCATAACTGACATTTACTTTTTTTTCCTGGCATCTTTACACTATTTTTTACTGCTTTAAAAGTATTTGTATAAGAAACAGAATTCCAAAAAGAAAAAAAAGAGCCCCAAAACGTCACTGCTGTAGTTCTAAGTGGTAAATGCAATGTAATGCAGATTTAACTGAGATATCTAAAGAGATATCCAGTCAAAACAGCCCACGGGTCCTAAGCCAAGGAGTCCATGAGTGCTGGTTTCACAAAAGTAGGTATTTTCAAGGAAAGGAGTGATTTCCTCAAAGCTGAAAACAGACTCCAGCATTCAGCACCTGCTCAGAACCTGCCACTCCTTTAAACTGTAATCTACTAATGTAAACTATGATAATTTGTGTTTACTAATATGTAGGATTTGTTTTCCTTTTTTCCATTCCTTCCAAAATTTATCATTCATCTATTGTGTCATTTTCCTTAGACTATAATTTATCTGTAGCAATGACTATAATTTTTGTCTGGATTTGTACAGCCAGCCTCAGTAGCCTGTAGGCACTAGTGTTATGTAACTATTCAAAA